TCCTTCTCCAGGATGTCTTTCCTACTTTTGCTCATCAGCTTTGTGTCCAGCAGAAAGGCCAGCTTGAACTCAAAGCTAGTTACGCTCAGGCGAATTTGATCAGTCCTCTTTATGACTTTTTTGTTTAGCAGTTATTAATGGTTTGGGTTGGAAGGGACCTTAAAGATCATCTAGTTCCAACACTAAATTTCACACATTGCAGACACAGACCTAAAGTAAATGTTGGCTGCTGCTGTTTATAATGTAATTCAAGCTACACGTCATATGTGGTGGAGGATATTCATTTTGGAGCTCTGCAGATGCATATAAACTATTAACATTCTGACTAAACTCCCAGTGGGTATTGCATCCTGGTCTTCTTCCCACCTATGGGACATTCAACCAGGGGACACGTGTACGGGGGATGGGGGGTGGCATCTCTTCCCAGAATCAATAATGACTTTAGTGGCCTCAGATCACCACAGACTGAAAAGGAAAAGGGATCTGAGCTTATCACGAGTTTCCAGTTCCCAACTCCGGCTCTTAACCAGGGTGTAAAGCACAGGGAAGAAACTGAGACGGGAAGGTGGGGGTTAGACACCCACCCCCTTTTTCCTCCTCAGTATTAAGAAGGTAAAATCTTGAGAAAAAATATAATTTTGAATCCTTTAAAAGTTTTGTTTCACTGACACCATCCTAACCAAGAGAAGGATTTCCCAGAAATGCAGCCTGGAGAAGCTGGGTATGTTGATGCCGTGGCTGTAGAGCCAGGAAGAGACTTGGATTTTCTCAGGGTTTAGTGAAAATTTTTGAACGTCAAGGAGGCCATCAGAGATTACTTTTTTCCATGGGAGAACTTGCCACAGACATAAGAATCATGCTTTTGCCTTGGAGCTACATCGGAATCGCATTTTATTTTGAAAGCGTTAGAATAAACATTCTTCTGCTGAGGTAATTTACGCAGGAAAATTCAGAAGTACGCTGAAGAACTCCATCGAGCTCAAGCTTTTTGTAACACCACCAAGTAACTTCTTGAGAAGTAACACTGCAGGGAAATGGCAGGAGATGTTTGTTTGAATAATCACTTCAAATAGCACTAAAGGCCTCACTGCATTTCAACGCCAACCGGCTGGTGCTAACCATCAGCTTGGCCAGGCATTTAACAAAATGCTTAGGGCAAAAGCAAAGTGACCTATTACCTATACATTTTCAAATAATAGCAAAACCAAATGGTAAATTCCCCAAATTACTTATTTTTATGAGCACGCCTGACTCTTACACTGGAAACACTTGAGGCATCCTATTACAGAATATCCCTGATACTTTCAAATTTTGACTTATTCCTCCCTGGTTTGAAATATGTCAGCAGGAGTCTTCCACCGGTATTCACGTATGGCACTTCTACATTTTTTAAGCATAAATACCAAAATGTATTAATAAAGCAAGTCTGGCATGGAGATAATTTACTGTTGGGCTTCTGAAGCTCTAATTATCTACCTTTAAAGTCTGCTGATTACTAGTGATAAATTTTACAGGCTTTACTGCCTAACAGCAGACACCTTGGATTTTTTTTCTTTACAGAAAGTAGCTGAACTTCCACAGAATACATATTTGCAGAGTGTTGGAAGGAGGTATAAAATCTGCATACACTGCTCCATTATACACCCACTTACATCTGTGGGAACTAAATCTGTTATGCTTATTAATTCCGTTCACGCTCAAAACCATCAGTTCTCTGGAAGAAGGGACACCGCGAGATGAACTTTCGTAGAGGTGATTTTATCTGAATAAATAAGGGTATCCAAGATTCCTCATGCTGATGGTAGTCTTCACGTGGTCAGTTCAGCACAGGTTTGCATGTCTTACCACAGAAATCAAAAATCAGGCTGAAGCTCTTCACAAAATCAGTCGGCAGATGCTCTCACAATGCAGAATCTGTTTTCACCTCTGGTCATGAGGCTCATAGGGCTGATGGGTTCTGTCTGTAAATTCAATTTATGCTCCATCTATTGACTCGTAATCTTGATTAGGCCACAGTAAAATGGCTGCAATAACGATGAACCCCCCTGTAACTTGCACCAGCTCCGCATACACCGTGTCGGCAGGAGGGACTGATGCTCCGGGTGCTCTTGCCGGGCTGGCTGTGGGAGGTCCACCTCTTCTTGTCCCCATTGGCCCGAAGCCTGAGCATCTCACGCTCCTGCATCTCAGCTGGAACCACCAGGTCTTCTCAACAAGTCCAAGGATAATCAGGAAGGTCCAGGGGATGTGACAGGTTTCCTGAACCCTCCTGAAACTCCAGTACGTCCTTTCCTCAGAGACTGGGCGGATGTTGATCGTCCAGTAAGTGAAGTTGGCCTCCCACTGCTGGGATCATTGGAGTTGGGGTGATGACACCTCTCCCATGCTACAAAAGGCAAAGAGCTTGCCGGGACTGTTTCTGGGCCTGGTTGAGTTATGGGTGATGGTTGTGACCCATCTTTTGTCCTTCATTCATTATCTCTGGGGTTGGCGCAGGGTCCCTGGGATGGCGTATGCCTACAGCTCCCACGCCCTGAGCCTCTGGGCTGGGCTGGAAGAGCTACTGCCTCCGGGTCTATAGGAATTTCTTGGGAACTGCACCTGCAAAGGGCGTTTAGATCTGCAAGGCCTCATTTGACATCAAAGAAAAGTCATAGTAAAGTATCACAAAACCTACAAGATTAATAGACAGAAATCCCCCTCTCAATAATTCTTCATTTGACTCATAATTAAGAAACAATTCCTGTAGCGCTCCTAGATGATGCCCTGTTTCCATCAATGGGGGATGTCAAAGCAAGCAGGTGCATTCCTTACCCCTCTCTCCAGAAGCATATCTCGGAAATGAGTGATGCGCTCTTCTAGGGGAGGCGTGACCTGAGGTGCTGATGTTTCCTCATCTTTCTCCTCCGTTTCAGCCTTCCCCTGGTCAGCAGCCTGGGAATCTTCTGTTCTTTAACAAGGCAAGAATAGAACACAGTTCAGTAATTGTCAGCTCAGGTGGGGATTTTTAATCCTCTCTAGAAAACCCTCCAGGAAGGCAGGACTTCGCGTGCACGGAGCAGGGAGCAGACGCTGACAGCGGAGACGTGACCCAATCCTGCAGCTCGTTACTAAAGCACAGGGCTTGTGGGCCCTGCCAAGAGGCCTCCGACCACTCGTTACGTGGAAGGATGGTCTATCGGTGTGAGGAATCGGCAGTGAAACAGGCTGCAGAAAAGAAACAGCTTCATATAAAATTGGCCAAGGAGTAGAGACTCTAAAGCGGTGAATGAAGGAATTCACCTGTTTTTATTTTTCTTTCCTGCTTTTGTGCCCCCAAACTTGAAAGTCAACACTAATCTTTATTTTACATTCCCATGCACCCCACAAGCTCACTCCTAAGGGATTTAATCTGGCAATGCATCGCATGCACGAACCTGCAATAAAGCATCAACGAAGAACCTGCCCTTTGCCGGTGCCAGGTCTGTATTTACCCTGACAGCCTCCTTCCAAGGTTGCATCTGATTAGAATAAAGAGGTGTTCCTGAGAAAAAACGTACCGTTTACTGCCCGAGTCACTTTGCCTACAAGACCCTCTGGAGAAAGGCACATACATAGCACCAGCGTGCAAAGGACAGTTTACGGCAAGGTGCAGCCATAAAGTAGCAGCAGTGGAAGAGTGATGCTTTCGGGTGCAATCCTACATAATCGGTGTCATCATCGGAGGGGAACTGTTCCACGCCAGATAAACACCTACGTAATTTTATCAGACCATTAACACTGCACCCTCACGGCGCAGGAAGCGAACACCTCCATCCCCACTGTTCTGAGGCCTGAAGATTTGCCCCCGTGTGCCCTCAGCATCTAATTAGGTGGGAACCTCGAAGGTGGGAAGGAATCTGCTTCGGGCGGTGGTAGGATTTGAGATGGGGATATGAAACTCCTGGCTTCGGAGAAGTTGGCCAACTCAGACCTCGGAATCTGCTCTGGGTCCATCCTGCGGTTTCATAATGTTTTGAGCAATAAACGGGTTCAGTACAAATTAAGGCTCTTTCTGGAAAGATCAGGAGCCTTAAAATGATCTCAAGGTTCAAGCAAGGATAATGACAGTAAGGCGATTTGATTTTTACCTCCTACAAGGCAGGACTGCATTTTTTACTGATGCAATTTTCACCACTATGGAATAATACTTAGTCTGAAATTTCAACAGGAAAACACTTTTGTATTTCCAAGCAAATGAATTAGATCAGTACGTAATGTGAGCCCGAGCACATTATCTTCTTTCTACAAATAATGGCATTACACTTACATTTATCCTAAAATGATGCTGCATTACTAGTGATTTGAGAGATATCAAATTGGTGTTCTTCACAGAATGACAGTGACTTTTCTATCGTAATAGCAGATTTTATCCTGTGACATGATGCATGGCAGGCCCAATTTCTAGCACACACAAAGGTCTTTGTCAAGCTGAAATCGAGAGAAAACCAGTGGACTACCCCAGCAGCCAAGCACCAGAAGAGCCCCTCCTGCCTTCAGCCCTTCTTATGCAATTGGAAATGATGCTGCAAAGAAATCACACAGACCTTTTACTGATGTCAAAAATGACAATAAAGAACACAATTTTCTTCAACTATGTGAACTAAACATATGTTGTTGAAGTCACAACAAACTATGTGACTTCCTGCTCAGACGGACACATATGGGCAGCCTACTAGCACAACCTTAGAAGCCTGCACATCTCAAAATAGATAGGGAGATGAGACATTTTTGAGTAACTCTGGTACCCACTGAAAGAAGAAGCAATGGGCACCAACTGAAATACAGGGAGATGCATCTGAGCATAACAAAAGGGTTCTTGCTGTGAGGATGGTGGGACACGGGCACAGGCTGCCCAGGGCGGCTGTGGGGCTCCATCCCAGGAGATGTCCAAACCCCCAGAGAGGTCCCTGAGCAACCGGTTGGGACAGAGACCCCTGAGATTTTCTGTCATTCTGTGAAGAAAACCCAGAAAACCGAAGTTTCTCTGAAGATTGCTTTTCTTTTCGACAGAGTGCAATCACAGCATTGCCTCAGTAAGAATTTGACTTCGGTATTTTTAAGTAGTTTCCTTATACCCCAATGAAACGTAAATCAAAGTGCAACAGCAGGTTGTGGAGCCCCGAGCCATGGGTGATGCTCATGGGGAAAAGATACAGAGAATCATGGAGTTTGATGAAGACTGGATACCGTTAGGATGACTTATGATTTATAGGTGTAGTTATCCACACAGGAAAAAAAAGAATTGTATTTCTCCTTGCACTTATTTGTACCAGACATTAACATCCCAACATTACATACAGATAAGTAAACTTTAGAACTTACTTATTTCTCTTAGTTTTGATGCTAAGATCATCATTTTCATCCCTGGGACAAGAACTAACACATTTATCTGCTAAAAAGAAATAAATAGTTATTAGATTTGAACTGGAGAAATGGGAACACAAATTCCTCAAATTAACCTTTCATTTCTTGTCTTTGGCCGCTGCCCAGGAATTAAAAACCAAGCATGTTTTAAAATAACACATATTTCATCAGATCCTCAGAAATGGCTTCATCCAGATGAGAGTGGCAGCAACAAAAATTAGCATTTTCAGCCTGAAAAATTACTCATTGTTCACTTGTGACACGATGGTGACATGCCAGCTCCCTCCTCCCTTCCTTTAAAAACTCAACTGCAAAGATATTGCTGCAAAATTATTTCAGTCCTGGCAGCCTGAAGGATTCAATAGTGTTAACTCGCACCAGAACTTCCCTCAGCCCATTTCTCTTTTTTACAGAAGCAAATATACTGCTGCTTATCCCCAAATTTAACCACCAGTATAGCAAGGCTACAGAGATACCTATAAATGACACTGTTGCATTCCTGGTTTGGCCCGGATACTCGTCCCTGAAGGACTCAGGTTGCACTGTCAGTCATAACGAACGTGAAACGTTTGGAAGAGATTTATTTCTGGAATCTGATTTTTTTCACATATACAAACTGCAGTTTTCATCAAAATTCAAATGGACAGACCACCAGAAGTCAAGCCCATCAGTGCTTAGTTTGTGTCACGGACTCTTCGGTAGTTCACCATGAATGAGTTGAGAAATATGAATATCACACTGTATGCAGCCAGCTTGGGAATATCAGAAACACCAAACCTCAGCCTTACTGTATGAGACTGCTAATGAAGACATTCTTGCTGTTCAGCAAACTATGAAAAAATAAATTAAAAATAAATGCTGAACTTAGGTTATGGAGAGAAAAGGTCTGAGTATATATCTGAAACTTGATATAATGAAGTCTGATCTCACTAAAATCAGAGAAACCAAGACATCTGCTAGAAAATGGATCTTCGTATCATCGAAGCTTGCAGAAAATTAGCCATTTATTTCAATTTAAGAATCTCGTTCTTAGCCCATTTTTGTTTCCCTATTTTAGGGAGATTACAGGTTTATTAGCAAGCTTTCAGCAAATGTTACCTTTTATTCATATGGAGTGCTCGATCAAAGTATACACTAAATCACGGTGAAAGGAACACTAAAAACCAAATGGCAGCTGTAACGCTGCAGCGTGGGAAGAGCTGTGGCAGGAACAAAGACCACCTGAGAGGGAAATACACACCAGCCGCACACGGATGCTCTACTAACCTCAATTTAAAAGATGATAAGGAGCAATGAATGGCATTCCAAAGTGAGGAGAGTTTGATCTCCACATTCCTGACAACACCCGAGCACTATGAATATATAAATCAATTTTATAATGTTTTAAATAAATAAAAATTCACTGGAACCTCTTCTTGGTAAGTTCTTCTTCAGGACACCCAATTAAAAATACATCGAAATGGGAAAACCAACTTGATGGCAGAATGTAATTCAGCAGAGATAATATAAAGCTATTAATCAGGAGTTGAACAACTGCAGAAGCAGCAGTGGTCTTCACTTTAAGAAATACTGATGGCAACAATAGGAAATGAAAGTACTTACAGGATCATAGAATCGTTTTGGTTGGAAAAGCCCTTTAAGATCATCGAGTCCAACCGACAACCCAGCACTGCCATGTCTACCCTGACCCATGTCCCTGAGCACCACATCAGCTCATCTCAAATACCTCCAGGGATGGTGACTTGATGGTGTTTTCAGAAGGAGCTGAAGTTAAAGGTGATTGGGCAAGCACAATCCAGTTCCTACCAAATTTCACCACTGTTAAAGGAAGGGGAAAGCCACGACTGCGGGGGCACCTCCTGCACTTGTCTGACACCAGACAGCCCTTCCAGAGCCGGCTAAAGGATGTACGCTGTGCTACGCTACGAATCCTGATGGGATGTTCTTTTAGCCAAGCAAGGAGGTGGTGAGAAGCCTGGCCCGCGCAGTGAGCCCTTCCTCTTCCACATCCCCAGGGGCCAAGAGAAAACTCGCTGGTGATGACAATGATGTGAAGTTCTCCAGCTACTAGAAGGTAAAGTCAAACTTGGTTACCTTACGCCAAAATCTTTCACAGATGTCTGAAAAGAATCTACATGTTTAAAGTTTTGCTGTGAACAAGATGTGAACTGGGCATTTATAGAACCAAATCTTTAATTACCATACAGCTTTCTGACACCATACACCCTGATCTCAGTGTTTACTTCCATCTGCCGGTTCCTGACACAGCTCGGGGTCTCCCAGAGAGCAACGCCAGCATCCCTGGGGGAGGGACACCAAACCCTTCTCGCTTTGCCCATGTGAGTGACTGCTGTGGGTATAGTGTCTTGGATAAACGGGACAAGATTTGAGTCAGCATCAACATTTAAAGTTTCAGTGCAACAGAAGACTCCGTAAAACCTGACTACTCTCACCTACGGATTCACACTGCAGCGCTGGGCCCCTGGTAAGATGATAAACTGACTTGGAAAGGGAAGAGAAGCAGCCATGCACAAAAATCCAATAATTGATTCCAAGCTTTGAAGACTATTACTTGACAATAATCTGCCCAGGAAATCATGAAGGGGAGCACTGCCCCAATCAGATGGTCTATCAAGCTTAGTGCTAATTAATTTATTTGGGTAATCCCAGCCACGTCATGAAGTCCGTCTCATTTTCCAGAGCAAAAAGGAAGCACCAGCATTTACCAGGTGAGTTAAAAGATTGTCAATCCATTGGGCACACGCAAAACTCTGATTTTCAGTTTTATAAAGAGACTTGGCACCCACGTATCGCACCTAAGCCTGGGAGGTTACCTATGCTGTTCCCAGGCACCATGCTTCATTCTTCTGTCTGGGTCCAAGGGTCCAAAATATTTGTGGGGACAGAGTAAAGTAAATCAGAACTGGTTTTGAACAGGGATCATCCCAACTGTGAATCAACATGCCATTTTCTATAGTCAGAATGTCAGTTTTCCTTTAATTAGCTGGAAACATCATTTCCTCAGTCTAAACATCCAGAGAAACCATTTAGCAGGTGGAGGAATAGGAACAGACAAAAATGTTTTTCTGGAATGCAATAAGACAGAAGTATTTTAAGGAATCTTTGAGGGAAAACAGAGATGTTATGGTCAGTCTGTGACGGTACTGAGACAGAGGGGTGATGCCTGTCAGGGACAAGAAGAGAGACCCGTCACCAGGAGATGTTGTGCTCCGCTGTCAGACAGCTCTGACTTGGGAACAGGGAAGATGCAGGTTTGCAGGTCCTGAAGACACTGGCTCTGTCCTGGCCCTGCGGCTGGTCAGCGGTGGGTCCCTCCGCCCAGGGACGTCCCCGTGGAGGGGCTGGGACAGTGCTGGCTGAGGGCTGCTCTGCCGCAGGCACAGGAGGAGCTGCACCTCCCCCTCAATTCCAAGGGATGGCCTGATGGGAACCCATTAGTAAAGAGCCATGACACCTTCATAAATCTCCCTAAGAACTAATACTTTGTGGAGGCGGAGTAACTGATAAATGAGTAATTTTTCATTTATGCCTAAATTATAAATGCACTTGATCTTTCAGTGGAGCGATGTGCAGATAACCTACAACACCCCATGAATAACTATGCTTGCCAACCTTTTTTTGTGCCTTTGATTTAAAAATCCTAATTAAAACTCAGCAGCAGCAACTAAGCTAAATAAATTTGGCAACCATTGTTGCAAACACACAGCTCATTTGTGTTATTTATTTACTCGAGATTACAAGCTAAGAGAAATGGTAACAAATAATTCCTTTCACCACAGCAGCTAATATATACTAATTATAACCTGACTGTCTCCAATACCGTGCAACCGCAAGTCCCAGTTATATCAAGGAAGATGAAAACTATTAGCAACAATGAAAATCATGGTCATAAAGAAACTGGTGCATGAATCAATGTTGGCGGTACTTATAGGTAATAAATAAAAAGGATGGAACACAAAGAAAAAAAACACAAGAGTTTTGAAGTAGGACATACCAACAGTGACTTCAGGCACTTCTAATTAATTAATTATAGACCATGAACAGTGACCCTCAGTTTTGTCTTTGCCTATCATTCCCCCTTGTCCATAATTAATTGATCTTTCAGTACATCCTGTAACAAAAAACCTCATGCTCTGTTTTTCTCAGGAAAATGAACTTTAGTAGATACACTCTGCAATTGTTAGATATATAGCTAGTTATTCAAGCTATATGAAAATATTATATATATGCAAGCATCTAATGACTGAAATTTATATTGAAAAAAGTTAACGACCTTCTACGCTGATAAGGGCTACACTAATAGAAAGCCACTCTCTGTAGCTTTTCTTCAATAAACTGCTAATACTGATAACATAAATCCTGATTATCACACCCTCTTATCTACCTGCAGACAAGTGTTTCAAGTCCACAGATGCAGCCCCACAGCCCCTGTTTTCCAGCAGTTAATTGGGAGCTCTGCCTGCGGATCAGAGTGCTTTGCAGGATGGTCTGAGTGACAAGGCAGGTCACTTCATGAGGCTGGCAGTGCTACCTCATTTTCAGTTATAAAACACTACACACTCTTTAAGAATGACAAACATCTCATTTTTTCTCCCCCCTCCCTTTCTCCAGCCCTCCCCACTAACGAACGGGCATTGGCTGCGGGAGGTTCTCCAGCAAAACTGCTGTGAAGCAGCACGTTCAAGAATGACAAGCAGCTAATGAAGGCAAGCAGCGTTTCGAACAACTGCCATGCTCCCCCCGTGATGGCAGACACAGGGAGACAACAGCCACTGGTGATGGAGAGCAATGTTGTGGGGCAAACTACGGAGCCACTCCCGCACCGGCGAGCAGAGGCTGATGCGCTGGGCTGCTCCGGTGCGGGTCACCAGCACGCCAACATCGGGACTCAACAACCAAGCTAGGGGTAGCGAGCAAGAGACGGCATGGCTGGGATCATGGGATGGGGAAGTCAGGCTGGGAAGGCGGTCAGGCCTCCACAAACCAGCCGACCTGGGGAGGACCAGACAGCACCCACCTTGGATGACTGACAAGTCAAGGGGCGTCTTTTGAACTGTATTTTGATGCACCCGTGTTACTGCAGAGACGCGTGTTAGTCTTTAGCCACAACTGTCCCCTTCTTTAGGAAGCGACCCATGTTGAGATGGAAGCACCCACGTCTCCACCAAAGTTTTCACTACTGGGATTTTTTCCCCCTCTACAACTTGGCTGGATAATCATTAGCTATGGAGTATCTGCTTTTGTGTAACAGCTGAATAATGCATTGGTAATGCATTCCTAATGTACATCTTGGAAATAAGAGTAATAAAACATAAAGACAGCATCTTCCGAGATGCATTTTATACATCAAAGATCCATCCAATAGGAGAAGCTGCCTGTTTCTGCATTGCCAATAATGAGAATGCTCTATCCCCCAACTCAGCATTTCAGTGAAAACAAGGACTTTGCAATAAACATCAATTTTAACACAATACTTGACATGAAACCGCAAAAGCAAAACCTTTCAAACTTCCACTGAACGTATTTAGTGACCAAGTTTCATTCAACGTTTGAGTTAAAGTAGAGGTAAATAATCACAGGGCTTTAGTTACTTGCTGCAGCTTCCAGCTTGCGCTTGTGAGGAGGATCCTCGATGATTCGGTTTATGTCGCCGCGGTGCTTCAGGTCCACCGGCTTCTCCCAGACTGACAGCTGCATTGTAGGGTTGAAGAAGAAGACCCGGTCATCTCCAGTCCAGACTACACACCTATTCCAAGTGACAAACTATGCTTAGATAATGTCAGATACACCCACGAACAAGAAATTCAACTGCAGCGGGCTTACTGCATCTGTGTTTGCAGGCTGTGGGTGAGGGTCCTCTCCGAGTGACGGTCTGCCCCAGACCTGTCAGCCCACGCCAGTCACCCGGGGCACAGATGCTCTCTCTGCATCAAGGAAATGTCGGAGAAATGGGCTAAACACCCCAAAAAGCAGTAGGAGAAATATTCTAGCACAGAAGGGAAAAAGAACCAGATGAGGAGGAAGACCATGGTGCCCTCAGCAAGAGAAGCCACAGGTAAATACATCTCACAGTTTAAAGCTGTGGCTGCGAGCAGCAAGTGGCAGAAGCCTTGGCAGTGGGGCTGGGCAGCCATGGCCTTGTTCCCACAGGCGTTGGGTGGCCATGGCCTTAATGCCCACCGGCCAGGGTTGGGCAGCCATGGCCTCAGTACCCACCGGACAGAGCTGGGAAACCAAGGCCCCGATACCCA